TCAGTGCAAGGAAAGAATAGAAAAGATGGGACAATTTTTTTTTATTCAATATGGAAGTTTTTTTAGGTTCTATTTGAATTTGAAAAGGATATTTGTAGCTTAAATTTAATAAGTGGTAGTCACCAGATATGATAATGAATAATGATGAAGGTATTGTAGATTTACTGCATTTAATTTTAAACAAAGTAAAAATACATACATATTGCATTTGTGCAAGATTCATAAAATATGCAAAAAATAAAACTTAAAAAAAGCCGACTTCATTTCTTGACAATTTGACCAAAGTAAGAAAATTACGACAGTGTAAATGATCTTGTATCCTTGTTTTGAAGTACAGAACCCCAGGGACAGTTCTAGTGAAGAGACTAATAAACTAGCTGTAGTCGTCTATGCTGATAATTTCATTGAAGCCTAGAGCTCTCCCGTGGTGAATGTTAACGCTGAAATGATTCCTTGTCATTCAATACAATTTGTTACTTTTGACACACTTCGGTTCTCATGATAATGAGAACATCAGTTCTATAAAAAATAGATGTCCTGTACTCTTTACCATTTGAATTACAACAACAGTATCTTCAGGATGTAAAGCAACATGCATACATCAAGGGAGGCTATTCAGGATTTGCCGTGGGGGACTTTTTAACAAGAGCATGGCTGGTGTGGTCACAAGGGGAGGTAACACAGTTCATTCTTGTATTGTGTACGGCAGCTCAACAAGGTCACTTGATAATTTCATGCTGAATAATTTGAAGACTGAGAAACATCAATAATGGAATTGGCAAATCCACAAGACACCAGGTTAAAATTCACCAGCTTCTCCTTCAGACAGCTATTGATTAGAGTTAATTATTTAGTGTTCACACAGGGTAAAATCGTCTTAATCCTGCTGGAGCATAATTAACATTTCCAGAGATACTGATTCCACTTGTCCTGATTCTGCTGATCACTTGTCGCAGATGTTGCACAGATTTACTCTGATTTAGTTGTTTTAGACAACACAATATTTGTATTGGAACATTGGCTTTTGAAAGAAAATTTAAACATTTAAAATGATACTTCAGAAATCCTCAGGGACCTTACTCTTTAGTTTCCATGTAAAACATCAGCATATTGGGTGAGAGTTTAATGTCCTACTCCACCCACATGGACCTCTGTCTTAATAGTGAAGATCATAGTGAATAAAGTTTTAGGGCAGGGTATAGGAGTGAACAATGAGGTTCATGGTTTTAGAGAAGAGGATTTGATTGAACAACTTGGTTCACAGTTTTGGAGAAGGGGATTTGAGTGATTACTTTGTCTCACATATTTTGGGGAGGGAATTTGAGTGAACATTTAGCTTTTAGTAACTACACATGGCCATTTGTCTAGCCACACATTGGTTTCCATAGACTTTTACAGGCTTACAGCTGTCATAGCTGTTTTAAACCGAAGGTCATTGTTATTGTTCCTAAAAATAGGAAGAAAACATTTCTATGTTTAATGTTTATGATATCAGCTGGAGTGCTGAGGAAAGTGGCAAACTTAATGCGATATAAAATTCTGTATCTGACAATACTCACTTTGACCGACACAGGTGTTAAGGACATAGAGTTTTATGAATAAACATGATATGATGTGATATTGCATCATATTAGACACATGTCACTATTCTAATACACATGAAGATGAACACACTTTCATATGTTTGTATGTGTACATTAAACTGTATGATAAAGTATATTGTCATAAGCTGTTAACAGTAAAACACTTTATAAGGGAAATGTAAGGTAATTAATGTGGGAATCATGAAAAAGTATAGTCAGTCTCTACAAACAGTAGCTCGTCCAAGGTAAAACTGTTTTAGATTAGTAGTTAAAACCTAGCTGTAAGTTGTATACTCTGTAGTCATGGAAATCAATTTAAAAACTGAAATATTTCTGTCATAACAACTACGGTAATTAGACATGAAGGATCACATTATATATTACAAATATTATTATTAGTTATTTTTTTAGTCTACAGAATTTTAAAATCAGATTTAAAGGGATAAAGTTTCATTTCATCAAAAATTTTCAGTTAATTATACTTCATTGCTAATGGAAGTTTTGAAAACTTGCTTTGTTATATGTCTACTTTATCACTTAAGTATGTTACACTTACTCTCAACAACTAGTCTCTAGCCAGTCATGGTGCAAATCCGTATGACAGGAAACTGCAAAGTAATGGCATGATTGAAATAAAATTTGTCATTTTGGACAATGGGGCCACACAACAGATAATGTCATATTGATGTCAGTGTGTACAGATGATGGGGCCTCACAACAGATAATGTCATATTGATGTCAGTGTGTACAGATGATGGGGCCACACAACAGATAATGTCATATTGATGTCAGTGTGTACAGATGATGGGGCCACACAACAGATAATGTCATATTGATGTCAGTGTGTACAGATGATGGGGCCACACAACAGATAATGTCATATTGTTGTCAGTGTGTACAGATGATGGGGCCACACAACAGATGTCATATTGATGTCAGTGTGTACAGACGATGGGGCCACACAACAGATAATGTCATATTGATGTCAGTGTGTACAGATGATGGGGCCACACAACAGATAATGTCATATTGTTGTCAGTGTGTACAGATGATGGGGCCACACAACAGATAATGTCATATTGATGTCAGTGTGTACAGATGATGGGGCCACACAACAGATAATGTCATATTGATGTCAGTGTGTACAGACGATGGAGCCACACAACAGATAATGTCATATTGATGTCAGTGTGTACAGATGATGGGGCCACACAACAGATAATGTCATATTGATGTCAGTGTGTACAGACGATGGGGCCACACAACAGATAATGTCATATTGATGTCAGTGTGTACAGACGATGGGGCCACACAACAGATAATGTCATATTGATGTCAGTGTGTACAGACGACGGGGCCACACAACAGATAATGTCATATTTTTGTCAGTGTGTACAGACGATGGGGCCACACAACAGATAATGTCATATTGATGTCAGTGTGTACAGATGATGGGGCCACACAACAGATAATGTCATATTGATGTCAGTGTGTACAGACGATGGAGCCACACAACAGATAATGTCATATTGATGTCAGTGTGTACAGATGATGGGGCCACACAACAGATGTCATATTGATGTCAGTGTGTACAGATGATGGGGCCACACAACAGATAATGTCATATTGATGTCAGTGTGTACAGATGATGGGGCCACACAACAGATAATGTCATATTGATGTCAGTGTGTACAGATGATGGGGCCACACAACAGATAATGTCATATTGTTGTCGGTGCGTACAGATGATGGGGCCACACAACAGACAATGTTGTATGACCTAGGTGTGTACAGATGATGGGGCCACACAACAGATAATGTCATATTGATGTCAGTGTGTACAGATGATGGGGCCACACAACACCTAATGTCATATTGATGTCAGTGTGTATAGATGATGGGCCCACACAACAGATAATGTCATATGAACTAGGTGTGTACAGATGATGGGGCCACACAACAGCTAATGTCATATTGACGTCAATGTGTATAGATCATAGGGTCACACAAAAGCTTAAAGTTCATAAAGTGGTGTTATACAGAGATAGTGAGGCCTTTGAATTCCCTTAGAAAGATTCAGGAAGTATTAGGATGACACTTGCCTCACATGATTTTGATAATGTACCTTCAAAATAAAGACATCAGTCAGTGATGACAAGATAAAATGAACTGGTGTTTTATACCAATAAAATTACAGGTTCACCCTCATACCCATATTGTAACTACAGGAAAGATAGGTCAATACATTTATAATGGATGTGAGAAAAAGGTGTAGGAATTTGTACAGAGAATTGAAGGAACTTGGATTTATTCAAATCTTTAATTTCTACATGGGCCCCGCATTGTAGTCATTCAGAATTATCGCTTGAAAGACACCAGCTGTATTAGGTGTATATGTGTCAGTGTTTGAAATAATGCTTACCTGTATATATCTCTTATAGACCACTATCAGGTATTTATCTATTGCTTGGATATAGAGGACAGGTATATGTGTACACACACCTGGCAGTTTATACCTAACTATGTGTATGTATGTATACATACTTGTAAGAGATGGTCTGTGAGTCAAGGGAAACAACTCTTTTCTGACTGTAGCTGTGTACACACATACACTGTAATGAGCTGTGTCTCCAACTGTCTCCAATCAGTCTGTGTAAGGGTGTGTTATAGGTTTAGTAAAGGACTAGGTTGGGAAGTCTCTTTGATTATATTATGATCAATAATGTGTATTGAAGGTCATACAGGACTTGTATACTTAGTAGTTATATACCTGACACTGCTGAACACATGCCCGCTCGCTGGTAGCCAGATTAATCTCATTTGTACAAGGGCTTAGTCTAATGTGTTTTGAGATCATTAACCTTCATATGTTGTAATGCACTATATCTATGCTTGTACATCTATGCTAAAACATGCTTATGCCTCACTTTAGAGGATGAAATGGTTCCCTGACATTAAACATGTTTATTACCCACCCCATAGGACCAAATAGTTTCCTTCTGTAAGATATGTTTATATGTGTATACCCAACCTCAATTAGAAACCTAATAGCTAACAACAATATGTATACTACCCCACCCCAGGAGACCTAGCAATAGTATACACTGATGAAAAATCCAACCTTGGAAATGAGCTTTTGTCTGGAAAATGGTGGGTGAGAGGGGGAGGATTTACTGGAATGATAACTTTGGAGCGAATATTTAGTCTATATGGGAGGAAATTGGTTACAGTTGAAGTTATAATTTTAAAGAGAAATGTTGTAATAAGTGCTTTTAGGACAATGGAGAAGGGATTAAGTAACAAAAACATTCAATACCTTAATTCCCCCCCCCAATTAAACCCCAAAGAATATTGAAGCTAATATCTATTGTGTCCTATATGTGGATGATATTAAATTAAAATTTGTATTTCTTACAGGAACAACAGAAAGAGTATGCCTCATAATGGGTGGAATAGAAGCCGTTAGAAGAGTTCAGAATTTCATCATGGAAAAAATCAGAGAAAAGCCTGATCCCAACCCTAAACCAGAAGAAACAAACAAAAACTTTGAAAGACATAGACAAGTGAGTTTATAACCTGATTTGGTTTTCTTGTTGACTTTATTGTCCAAAATACTAGAAGGCTCACAGTTTATTTCAGTAAGTAGGAGTACTGGTTTCAGTACAGCACAAAATTTCAAATTGTAAAAATGAAAATGAGTCAAACTCTGAAATTTGGCTGAAATTTGAATTTTATGCGTTGATTATTTATGAATAAGCAGCAGAAAGTGACAACAAGAAATGTTAGAATTGGTTGCATGCAGTTCTGCAAGGATCAGACACTATTGTCCAAGATATCATCCACGAATCAGCTGCCAAGACTTCATACATATATGTGCTCATTGATTGTTTCGGTAGATATTTAAACTAAATGAAAATTATCTTGGCAAAGAGATTTCAATGTGCCCAGAGAGTCATCATCGTTTTAACATGAAGAGTGTTTGTCCAAGTCAGTAATTGTTTGCTACTACGAAGACTTCATACAGTATTTGAAACAAATATGATGGGTGGTCTGCATGGCTAGGAAGTCACCCTAAAGTTGGGTATAGAAGCAATAAATAAGGAAATAACATGAAACAAGAACATGCACTGGGCCTTGCATTAAAGCTTGGGACTATTAGCAACATGGCTCGCAGACATGCAATAACGACAACATCCCTCCTTGTTGCAGGTGAAGGTTTTAGTACCAAACAGCACGGCTGGGATGATCATAGGAAAAGGAGGCAACTATATTAAACAGATCAAGGAAGAAAGTGGAGCATACATACAGATATCTCAGAAGTCCAAGGAAACAAATTTACCAGAGCGGTGTGTCACTGTGGCGGGTAAGTTTTGAGGAAGGCACCCAATACTTGCTTGCAGGTCTGATGTTTTCTGACAATTAGGCTTAACATGTTAACATGGATTATGGTCTGTTGGTAGCTACATTATAGTATTCAGGATTCTTTTGAAGTTTTTTTTCACATCTGTTGCTTGTTGCAAGATTTTAACTCACACTGGTGAATATTACAGTCTTGGGTTACTTTCATCACAATAAAGTGTTTGACCAATGAAACTGACTTGTCATTTTGGATCACAGTTCAGGCTTGATTGACTCAGTGTTTCGCTAAATCCATATTTGATCTATATTTTACATGTTTCAGTAATTTAGGTTTATATCAGGTGTGAAGAACATTTCTGGCTGGCCATACATGTTACATGTATATTGATTTATTTACACAGTGATCTGACTACTATCTGGTACTGAAAGCATGGTGCATGTGCAGAACTTTGTGATACATTATTCATTGACTATAAGTAGAGATGAAATTGTCTCCCATACATGTATATCAAAGTGATGCCAGTTTTGCCTATATCTGAATGATTACTGCAGAAGACATTGTCTTGAAAATTTGCCAATAGATAAATGTATCGGTCAGTCATTATTCTGCAGTGTTAAGGACAAGTGTTTATGATTCTGCTATTCCAGATTTGGTTGATTTGTGTAGTGTCATAATTATCCTGACTTGTCTGTTGGGCAAGGGATATCAATAGTGACACCTTGTATATCTAATGGTCAAGACTATATATACACACTGTAATAGAGGGATATCTAGCCTGGGCAGTAACAGATTGATGTGTTAGGATGAAATCTGGTCAAGACAGTTTGATGTGTTAGGATGAAATCTTGTCAAGACAGTATGATGTGTTAGGAGGAAATCTGGTCAAGACAGTATGATGTGTTAGGAGGAAATCTGGTCAAGACAGTTTGGTGGGTTAGGATGAAATCTGGTCAAGACAGTTTGATGTGTTAGGATGAAATCTGGTCAAGACAGTATGATGTGTTAGGATAAAATCTGGTCAAGACAGTTTTATGTCTGGGACTAATATCTAATATCCTTATTTTGAAGTCTTGGGTCGAAAATTTGTCAAAAGAGTTGGATAGCCTGTTGAGAACACTAATTATGATTGATTTCTCCAAATTTTCTTTAGTCAAGACACTTCTCAGAAATCTCCATAGGCAACCCCATTCCTTCTTCCATAAATGTCTGTCATAATAATGCACCCAGTAGGGAGCACCACTCAATATTTCCTGTTGTATTATTATACAACTTGTTGTATGGTGGAACCATAATGGGGTAATTTTCATTCAAATTTCTATTGATGTGTAAATTATAAAATGGAAATGTCCATTTATTGTTACTCTTGTTCTTAAAATCATTTACCGGTAAACATTTTTATGTGAGTTTGTTGTAACTTTTTACATTTACATATTGATCAGAACTGAATTTCCCCTGTTTGTGTTTTAAATTTTAGAAAAGATTTACAATTTAAGATTTTGTAACAAAGGTGGGGCATCCTATCATTACGAAAAAAGGCTTTTTATCTTGTATATAAAACACAGAAGAATTTCATTTGTAAGGACATTTGATGTCATCAGGACAAATACAGTTTTGTTTTTAGGTTATAGATGCCGAAATGGCATCCCTGTAGGCCCTCTAGATTTTGTAGTACCCTGTAGACCCTCTTGATCCTGAAGTCATCTCTATGATTTTCCTTGCTTTGTCCAGCTTTGCTTTTTTAACTGCAGAGATTTCCCCTCATTTAAAGATTTATAATGATTTGCCTGTAAAATAAGCTCCGGATTTTTTCGGACTCTTTTTTACAATGTACTGTTTTCCGGAACTGTGTCAAATTTTAGAATACTCAGAGTCCTAAAAACGCTTGGCGTTTCCAAGATGGCTGATAAAAGGCCAAGCGACGCTGAGAATAGTCCTAGTGGTAATCCGAAAAAGAAGCTGAAGACGGCTCAGAAGGATCAGAGTAAACGTTTAAAAACAATCTATATATGATGATTAAGTGGAAGAGCATACCTTTTTGTACTGTCTGTTGCGTCGCTAAGCTAGCGATGATATATACATATTGAACAAAAAAGTAGGGGCCTATTAATCAGGGACACGAACCACACATAGATTTGTTATTGTTTGAAACACTAAACAGGTTTTACGAGATAAAAGTGATATTCCCATGCTTTTACTTCATCCAAAATGCACCATGCCAACTGGACTTTATTTGATCGCGATTGTCAGTAGCCTAATGATAAAAAATCAGGAATCTGTAGACGTTCTAATCTGCCAGTAATAATATTGATAAAAATAACCCGTATACTAATGTGTTTTATATAGTCTGCAGGCTATTTTAGTGTCATTATTAAATATCTATATTGAAAAAAACGTCAGACTCCTATCCACAAGATCATAGATATATTTACATTATTTGTTATATGGTCATGAATAATGAGAAAAGCTGTTAGTATTTCGGCTGATGGACCATTCATCATTACAATGGATATAAAAATATGTTGCCATATTCAAATCAGAATTTTTAAAAATGGAAAGGCATTTTGCATATTAAATATAATTGTGATATATATTTGATGAATTTATAAACCTATTGAAATTCTATTTTTATACCACATTAGCCCAGTTCCCAGTTTCATACAATTAAGGATATTCAATAGCAAACACAATTTATTCATTCTTATGTAAATTTTTTTATTATGAATTATTAGTTCAGTGTGCCATTTTATTTTCTTGTAATGGAATTTATCTGTTTTGTGAGCCAAGATCTGCTTGTTTTCAATTCAATATTGGGGACTGAGGAATATTTTGGTGATTTTGTTTGTAACTTGTAACAGTTGTGTTATAGTTTAGGTGTGAACCATACATAGATTCACCACACTGCAAAGTATGAATTTTTCAAAAGTGGTCAAGTGCCGGTATTGTCTTGGGTGTCCTTTCCCATTAGAATTTCTAACATTTTTGATGACTTTGCCTTGATTACATATAGTCTACAGAGATTGAGACTTCAAAGTTTGCTGTGGTTGAAGATTGTATTCAAAAGAAATATGTACCAAAGTCTTAAATTTTTATTGGGTCTTGATTGATCTTGATTTATATTTTCTACTTACAGGCGACCATGAGGCTAATCGTAAGGCAGTAGACCTCATCCTACAGAAAGTGGTAGAGGACCCGCAAAGCGGCAGCTGTCCTAATATCAGTTATGCAGACTACACAGGTCCGGTTGCAAGTGCTAATCCCACTGGCTCTCCCTTCGCTAATACAAATTTCACACAAAGTCGAAGCCAGGAAATGGTCGTCAACAACAGCAACTACCCACAACAGGGTGCTACAGCTTATAGCATAGGCTTCAATGGAAATGGGTTTAACAATAGTATCGGCAGCGGTATCTCAAACCTCAATCTTAATGCCGCATTGGGAGGCGCACCTGGAGGGAGCATGTCTAGCGGTGCCCTAGATAACTTAAAAATGACCCTACGGAGCAGTGGGTATTCAGAACAGGCTACAGAGGAGATTTCTATCGCCATGAACACACTAGCTAGTTATGGAATTTTAGGAATGATAGGACTCAATCAGGTCCCAGGGGTGAGCAATGTGGGACCCATGGCTAATATGCCTGTTACAGGGGGTGCCGGTAACGCCCAAATGGCTGGAATTAACATGGCTTCCTCCATGGCAGCCACTAATATGATGGTCACACCAACCTCTTCCCAACAGAATGTAAACAACGGATCCTACCTGAATACCAGCAGTAACTCGGCAACTGGGAGCTTGTTTGGCCCTGTAGGGAGTGGTACGTCAGGACTGGGGAGTTCTGGCTCCACCGGAGCAGGATCTAGTCTATTTGGGAGTTCTTCTCCAAGTATAGGCAACGAGAGATATGGTGGCAGTCCCATGTTGAATGACTCGTTTACAGGTGCCACGAGCTACACTAGCAATCCAGCTACATACCCTCCACAGGCCATAGCAGAGCGTTCTCCCAACATCAACCTGAATCAAAATTCATTTGGGCTGGGAACAGGCATGTGTAGCCCCACGGAGGACAAACAGCCACCCCAGAAACAGGATCTGGAAGTGTCGGAGAGTATAGTGGGCGCCATTTTAGGACCTGGTGGGAAAGGAATTGTAGAGTTACAAAAGTTTACTCAAACCAATATCCAGATCTCTAAAAAAGGTGTATACGTTCCAGGAACACGAAACCGCATTGTCACAATTACTGGTATCGCCAACAACATTCAGAAAGCTACATACCTAATACAACAACGTATACAACAGGAGGAGATCAAGAGAGCACATCAAGCGGCTCGCTAGGAAATCACATAACTATAGAGGCTTTAAAGAAATAACTCATTTCAAACAAGTATATTGTTCAATATTTTACCAGTCCTTGTCTTTGTTTTCATTTTATTAATGATTTTTTTTTTAACTTATTTAAAAATTTTTTTGTGGTTTCCTAGTGACATATGCACCCATTGTGATTGCATCATATATAACATTCAACCATATTAGCAGAAAAACCTGTGTGTAGTTTTCAGTTGTTTTCTCTGGCACACATATACCACTGTGTTGTTATGTACAGTACTGCAGGGAAAGTGTGAACACTGTGATGATAATATGTTACGTGGTGGCACGGACCTTGGAAAGCATGCGGTTACTTAGCATTTCTATCCAGGATTTATTTTGTACAGTGGATATCTTAACTCATTTTGTTATTCTGTTAAATAGTCATGACTGTTGTAAATTATAAGGGTATGTATGTTGTCTTTATTTTTTGTTTCATATTATGAAGCCTGTCCTTGTGTGGCAGGGAATGTTCAGGGCAGGAAAAAAACATGTTATGTTGTGTATTCTACACATCACACACCCTTTATCTCCTCTCACCTTCTCACCCCTACAGTCCGTGATAGGACAATCTGCATGAGAAAGATGGTACAATCCTCTGGGGAGTTGAGGGGTGGGTAGGTAAGGCCTGGATGATACCTCATACAGAATGCATAACTGTCCCTTTCATTCACTCGCTGTTCAAGCGAATCCGGCAAATTTTCAACATTGATGTTAATATCTCTGATGTGCCACATAGGGCTTAACCATCACCACAGGGAATCGTAGGGCTTAAACCATTACCACAGGGAATCGTAGGGCTTAAACCGTCATCACAAGGAATCGTGTGCATTTTGAAGTGCTCTCTTTTTTAGTGAAACAAATACATTCATTGTTTTTCTCATTTAGCCGCATTTTAATTTTCAAAAGTATACCACTTTTAACCAAATCATTTCAAAAATGAGACTGGACATTTCATCTATTATACAAATTTTGATAGGAAATTGAAAATTGATCTCTTTCTGTTTTAGAAAATATGCTACATATCCTAAGTTACATGCTGTAGGTGATGTTTGTGCTCACAACACTGCATTGTTTTAAATGCTATATGTCAACAAAAAACATAATCATGCAGTCAGCAGAGAATTTAAAGAATCCATGTATTTTATACCCATCTACAGGGGTCAACTTTCAAATAAGGTTTTAAAGCATATTATGCAGAACCGAGTAATTGAGGGGACCTCTGTTACAGTGCGTCATCGTGAATGCCTATCTGTTTATCAAGTTTTTTAAGGCATAGGCTTTTTTTGATTTCTTGTCCTTTTTTTTAAAAAGGCAGTGGTGTGTTATGTATTATTCTTGCTAACTCAGCATTGTACAGGAAAAGAACCTATGTAGTCTTTCACAGAGGAATGTGTTGAAGTTTCTGAGTTCTGTTTTGTTTCGAATTGTGTTAAAGCCCATTGAAAAGTGAATGTGGGAAATGTTTTGGAATGTAACCAGCATTTTTCGTTGAAAAGCCAATGGATTGGCATGAAACATGATCATGGAAGTTTTGGTTAGCCAATGAAATAACGCATTTCATTAATGTTAGCCAATAAAATTAATGTTTCATTAATGTTAGCCAATAAAATTAATGTTTCATTAATGTTAGCCAATAAAATTAATGTTTCATTAATGTTAGCTAATGAAACCAAGTGTTAACTTATTACCTAGGATTTCAGTTGACTTGTGTGTGTGCACTGTGTTGAACTTTTTTTTCCATATTATATAAAGATATATATATATATATATTATTGCTGCAAGGGTCACCTCCCTTGTGTAGCGAGTTATGTACATTAGTATGCCTTCATAAGTTATATCACTTCTAAACAAATATATGTAATATATAAAATATATTACCTTTATAGGAGTATGATTAAATTTGTTAATATATAATGTTTTAGTCAAATTTGATTGTTATTATTTAACTGAAAGTTGTTAACTATGTACTTGTACTATAGAAGTGACCCTTTCCTAACCTCAGCGGTTTTACAGTTTTTTTTTCTCTCAAATTCTGATATTTATTGTCATAACTATATATTATTATTATTAAGACAATAATAATAATAATAATTGTTATTCCAGCCATTACACATATTCTGTGCTAAAAGAGATACTTTCAGCACATTATTAATTATTTATATAACAGATTTCATCACACTAAGTTATAGGGGACACGTAGCTTACATTGTCGACCTGATTTTTGTGGTTTCTCCCAATATGGTACGAAGAGACATGTATGCTTCTTTACCATCGGCGGTTATTTTTAGCCACTAGGCTTTTTATATAATGGATATGAAATTCATACGCCACATTGATATATTTTTTGTGTGTGAAACAAGCTAGAATATTTTTTCTTTCTTCCCTAGCATTCTATTCTTTCTTAGTTTTTGTTTCCAAATTGCTTGTTGAAGACATTTTTTCAGCCCATCCCATGTTTATATATATAAATACATTATATATATAGATATCTATATAATGAAAATTGTGTAACAATACTATTGTTTTTTGCATGTCTTTCAAAGATACACCATTGATTTTGTTTATTTTTTTTTTGTTTTCACACATAACACACCAACTATAGCATTTGAGTGTTGCATTGTAATATATTGGTATCATAGTAACACACTCCTCAGGCACTGTAGCCCCCTGTACATCAGAACATTTCACCCGTCATCCGTGGCATTTATCATGGTTTCTTGTTGTTTGATGATGTGCCAGCTACACAGTCTTTCAAGATACTTTACCTTTGGGTCGCTGTCAATGTTTATTAGTGTGATGGTGATCGATGGATTAATCATTTCGTACGAGTTCATTTTATCGTGTTTTGAAGGTATTTGGGTCCTTGCTAGCTTTAGTTTTGTTATCCTTTAATATAACAAGAAAAAATCCCACTGTAGATGACATTCTCCTTCACTGTGCTATATGCGCTACTATTGTATGTGTTATGGGCTGTGGCCGTCTGGCTCTCTTACACTGGCGTCTCGCCATACCTTGCCTCCTGGGTCTGTCAACTCTGAGGAAGGGTGGTGCTACCCAGGGTAGACAGTCTGAAGTCACTTAACATTCTGTTAAGATGCAAGCTTAAGGTTGTCTGCCAGTTTGTGTGTGAGAGGGGGTGGTATCCTCATCCCCGCATAGCTGTACAGTTACATCCTGTGGAAACTGAGATCATGTGATAAGATAGAGATCATGTGAGGAGATGAAAAGAGATCATGAGAGAAAAGTCATCTAAAAATCATTACAAATATCATAGATTTTATAATGTAAATTATGCAGAAAGTCGTTCAGAACATTAACATTAAAGATGTTATGCCTCAAAAATTCAATATCAATCCGGTTTCAATTTCCATGCAAGTTAAAAATGCAAACAGATATTTTTTTATTTTTGTACACATAGTGAACATAGAAAATGAGTGGAGACATTCGGTCATTTCAATTTTCAAGTTATTATTATTATTTTTTTTTTTTCCTCACACCAGATTTTTTCAAATCACTGGCATAATAATATGTATGTTAACTGCAGCATATATAGTTACAATGTTTTTGTACATCTGCTCTTATTCAACATTTTTCTCAATCATTTATCCACATTGTCAAAGAGCAATATGTGAGTAACCAGTATTACCTTATGGGACATAGCCATGTTTGTGTTATGAGTTATGTCCCCTGACATAGCCTGGTTTCTGTTATGAGCTATGTACCCAACCCCCCACCCCCTGATCTAGTCTTCTGTTAATCTGAACAGAGAATGAGTGAAGAGTTCACACATTAGTGTATTTAGAAGCAGATTTTTCTTTGATGATTTTGTTAAACTTTCTTTCTACAACACATCATATGTGAGAGAAACAATGACAAATCTCTAATATCATCTGTAATTAATTTTCAGTAACTTATTTATTCACTGAGTTTGATATTGCCGTGTTTGTATGTATATATGATCTGGAAGCACAAGGACCCAAATACCTGCTTTCAAAACAAATTATTGGGGGATTTTAGCATGAACGGGTCTACCCACTAGGAAGAAAGCTAAGCATAAATGATTTTTACCAATATGTATACTCAAGACATCTTATTTCACCAGACAATTATGTGAAGAACAAACAGATTTTTTTCATGGAACTAAAGACAAATTCAGCCAGTCAAATGTATTTTTAAGGAATTGACAGTCTTGGCAATTTTGGGATTCTTCTCAGAGCAACAGAAAATTTATATTTCCAATGCAGATTGTTGCCATTAAGTTGTTTCAGTTTATTTGGAAAGTTGTCATTATGAAAGACACCTGATATTTCCACCCTCTCTGTCTCTGTCTATATCTCTCTCCGTCTGTCTCTCATTCTTTGTTTTGTTTTTTGACAAATGCCTTTGGAAAAAAGGGGTTATTTGTAATACTATTATCCCTATTATTTGCATTTGGACTTGAACTTGATTGATCTGGATGAGTCCATTGTGGTTTGTAAGGGTATTTACACTAAATCTGCCAGCGAGTTTACGCATGTTTTGACTTTTCCGAGTATCAGCTGTAAACTTTCCCTGACATTTGGTAACGTTGAACTGTGATAATATATCATCTGTATATAGTAGTCACTTAACAATAGCAGAATTATATATATATATAGTAATACATTTCCTCCATATATACATTGTACAGTAATGTTTGTGGAATACACAAGTGAGAAAATAGTAAGAATGTCACAGGACAGTCAGCTGTTTGGAAACACTACATTTAATTTATTATTAAGTTTGATGCTCCTGAGCCTGTTAGTGTTTAGATTTTGTGCAGTCAGCTGGGTACATACAGTAGGATGGGTAGACCCACTGTTACAATCCCCTAATGGTAAGGGGTGCATTAGGAAGGTTTGTAAGAGCACTGAACATGTATTAGCAATAACATACATTAACCAATGAAACCCAAGAGTACATAATACACACTTTGATAACCATGTGCTTTAATGCACAGCTGCCAACAGTGATATAGCAAGGAGGTAAGAAGGGGGATAACTCTTGTTTGGATGACATTCATTTTGCCAGGAGGAGAGAAACATGATTAATAATGCTGGAAAAAAATCTTTCTTTAATCTGATGACTTGTTACTTACTCCTACAGCTAAATAATGCAAGTTACAGGGAAGAAAACTAAGATTTTTTTTCTTTTTTTTTTCTTTGATACATTATCTGATAGTGACACTTTACTAAAAACCTTATATTGCATTGTTGAAGTCTGCCAGGAAACTCCTTGTGTATTTGTCGTTATGATAAGAATACAATTAGAACACACTCAAAATTAGTTAACAATTTTGATATTGAGATGAAAGTATGTATGTCGCTGATAATGTGTAAAGTCTTGCTTTGATTACAATTCAAATGAATTATCGGGATAAAGAACATGTTTGAGATTGGAATATACAAATAAAGAATTAATCTAGAGGACTTGAAACATAAAGGGTTTTTGGCCCATTATGAACGCAGAGCAGCAAATACCTAGGTACACTGAATTGATAAAGTTTTACCTATATATCTAGAGTGAATCTATATATTTAAAGAATTACCTCCCTTGCTCCATTTTTTTTTGTTTTTTTTTTTTTTTTGTAGTTGATATTTTATCAAATGGTATCCATGGTAGAGTGTCGATATAGAAGTTGAATTGTGATTTTTATGTATGCTTTCTTACCTACTTTGTAAAGTCTTTTTCAAAAGAGTGTGTTGAAAATTTCCCCAAGCAATCAAAATTCCTTTCTAGATGCATTATGGTAGCCAGTCAAGTTTTAGATTCTTGGATAAAAATAATTGAAAAAGAAAAAAAAAATTAGACTTTTAAATGTTTGTTGCAAATGAAATTGTTTTTTGATCATGATTTGTGATTTGCGAAACCATTATGTACTCTTGGCGGTGCATGGAACATTTGTATAGGACTTAATTAATGTATCCTCATTGTAGTGCATGGTTTTTATGGTATTTGCATTGATATCTTCAAGGTTCATAAATTTTAAACAACTTACATGCCAAGAGCTGGAGAGTGGGTACAGTGAGTTGTTGGTCCCACCCAGGAGGTATCTGTTACCATTGGGGACTGGTCACTGCAGCTGTACTTACTCTCCGTAGTATATTGTGATATATGAAAGTTTCGAGTCATGTGATTGGTCATGTGATCCAGAGATCTTGCCAAACTTCACGATTAGAATGGGAGAGAAGCCATTATGATAAGAGGACACTTCATTTTGACAAAATTGTTCATAAAAGTAGTTAAGAAAAGATGACATTCCTTTCAAAATATAGTATATATATTATTTATAGTAATAGCAGTTCAAAGACGTTTTTTTTATGAGGAGACATTTGTAAAAGCACAGATAATCACAATCCTTGTGCCATTTCCAATGATGACTCTACTGAAGTCTGTTTTAGCATACAACCATTGGTGATTTTACTTAAGTTCAAACATACCGTTTCATTTTTTTATAAATGGATTTTATCTAATGTGTACAGAACATAACACATTTTATCAGCTCAAAGAATCTTTAAAGATGAAAACTTGTTAATATTTATAGACACATGTCGGACATTTTTTAATTTATTTCCGTCATTTCACTCACTCATCCTAAGGTCTATTAGACAAGGTTTTACATAGGGGCCTCAGTATCATTATTTTATCTCCCAGGTATAGTGCTGTGATATTTTATTTCATCCTCATCAGTTTCACATTCAGTCACCACTTGTAAAAAAAACGATGTTAAATCTTATTATCTACGGCTGTTAAACCTTCTCTAACAGTGGAGATGGAAACTAATGATGTGCTTTGGGCTTTAACATTGCCAGTTGATTCACTTTCAGAACTCCCATCCAGTTGAACATTCTGTTACATCAACATTTTTATAGAAGTCAGGAGTACAGACCAGACATTATCTTATGGAATCATTAAATCGTGGAATGAAATAAAAAGTAGTAGTTAGTCTTTATTTTACTATTGATTGTTAATTCCGGCCCAGATTACATGACTAGTTTCTCAGCTCACTGTTGCCCAGCATGCGCCCAATAGAGATGTGCACTATATTTTTGATTTGGTGTTTAGGTTAGTAGTTAATTTACTGAACTTTGTACTTTTGTGCTGGACTTCAGTGACTCCAGTCTCAATATATTACAAATTTGTCAAGAACGTGAAAATAAAATAAAAAAGGAAATCTGCACTACCTATCAGTGATGGCAGTCTTTAAATTTTTTGGATGATTGAATGACACATTTCAATGGTTTTTCTTCTTTTGGAAATGAGATTTAGCAAGCAATATTGTTGTTAAGATATTATGAAGAGAATGAACAGCCTGGTTTAGATAGCATGTTTGACCGACTCGATTGGGGGAGGAGCTTGATGTACGGGTAAAAGAGTCCCTCACTTGGTGCAGGGTAGGTTAAAACCTATCTCAATTGTAACATTACCACATAGATCTGTTAATGTCATCTTTTATTGTACAGAAAATACTAAAAAAGCGTTTGAGCTGCCAGTTTGTTAATGTGATATAGACGACCTTTAATGAGGTGGACAAGAACATGCAACAACAGCCCATGGTCTCTGTTGGTTCCAGTATGGTGTGAGAGTGCATGTGGTTTTTGTCAAGATTCATTTGAAAATGATTACTTTAAAACGGGTGAACGTTCATGTAGATATGATTGCAAATACCACCTGGAAATAAGAATTTAAACAGATTTACACAGGAAATATCTTGGAATAAAAATTGGGCTGAAATGTGGCTGTGTTTGTTTTATTTTAGTGTTAATTAGAGCATGAAGCAGCCAAAGTTTGTAAAGGCATGTATTCATCGTCAAACTTTGAGACGTATCGAAAATCGTAAATGTTAACCCCTGGAACTTCGGGGACGCCATATCCATATAAGGCCAAGGTAATGTCATCCGGTCACAGGTCAAGACACTACGATGCTGTCCTTACGAAAAGGACTGATGAACGACTAAGTACCATTTGAAGTTAAACTCGACAAATAGTATGTGTGTCCAAAGGTCAAGGTCACAACTAGGTCAAAAGATTACTAAATGGAAGTCCATCTGTATTCTGATGTATTCATGGTATAACAACCATTAACACTTTCTCTGCACGTCTATCCTTCCGTACGAAAAAAATCTTTTGTACAATAATAGCACTGCGACAATATAACAGATTTACACTTACCTGAAAGGCCTGTTATGACCAACCTTGTCCGTTTTTAAATGTCACATTTTGGTTGAAATTTAATGTGTAAGGGGCACAACTCTTGCAATAATGTGGACTTTTTGTATTATTGAGTTAGGGACGAAGGGAGACAATTCCATGTGTCGGTTAAGACCATTAAGCACAGGAAAGCGTGATTTCGGACATTTTCACACTTATAGGCTGATCGTTATGACTATTGTATATAACGAGTAGGTCAAGATATACAGGTGGTCTTCTCAGTCAGGTAGTCATGTACCTCTGTAATAAGACCACCTCGGGGACTGGAAACCGATGATAGTCAGAATAGTGAGTATGGCCACAAGAACAGCTTCTTCTCGTCACTTTGGTCCAATGACTTCAATCTAGATTGAAATGTTTGGTTTACAACGTTAAGCGAACGGTGACTATAACCAAGTAGTTTTACATGTAAATACGGCTCATTGATCGGACACCTGGTAGATATATACTCGTGTGAATGGTCGGCGGTCTGATCACCGAGGTGAAATTCAATGCAAAACTGGTCTTTGAGACTTCATAAAACTAGTCGTAATTTCGAGTTTGTCTAATAATTCGTTTGGTATAGATATTGTTTTCACTCGCTGTTTGTGCTAAAAACAGAAAATGTTTCACGATGGGTTGTTTTATTTAAATATTAAACTCATGAGATAGCAGCCATCTGGCTGTTCGTCCTCATGGATGGGGTTAGGAGTATTTCACTAAGGACACCAAATGAACTCGGAAACAGCTGTATAATGAAGTTTAATTGATTGTTTGGCTCCACTGAATATAACTCTTTTTTAATCTGTATTAAAATGTGCTATTCACCTATGTGTGTTTTGTACAACTCTTAGCTTCACGAGGAACATCTTTATTCTTTTCCCAAGTAGGATCCGATGGTAGATATATCCGATACTCTACCAATTGAGATACGGCGATCCCTAGATCACGAGTAAATGGCCAGAATCTCTCGAACTAATGTTTGTTTCGACTTATCAATGTTTTGTTGTTTTCGCTTTTGAAGGCGGTACGGAGGCAAAAATTCAAAGGAAACACACCTTTCAACGGTTTCTGGACGAATACTCATATTGTAGCAATTTTTGTTTTTGTTTGCTCAGAGGGGAGGGGAATTTGTTTTTCAGATGAATCACACATACATGTTATTGTTGGGACTTAATCAACAACAAAGATGAGTGTGAAATCGGATAACATAACATTTTTTTCTTTTAAAAAAATATTCAGATCCTTTGTGTAGCAGGGTCGGAAAAACAACAGAAACTTATTCTTTCTTCTACTCATTTATTCGTCCAGGAGGCCGCCGCAAACAGGAACCATACAATGGTAAAAAAACCCTCTGACTGACGTGGTGACACGGAGTCGATATGTACTATGTAAGTCCGTCCTGTATGATGTATCAAACGACGTGGACCCGTAGGTTCCGTCCTGTCGTCACTGGCCAAATGCGGCGAACCCAACCTTGCACACTATCTTAACCACTTCAAACACGCCCCTTTTCACGCACAGCATCACACCCCATGCATTCCACACCCTGTCACACCGGACCTCACTTGATACGATAAACAGACGATCACGTGACAACAAGCACACACGTGTACAGAGACAGTACAGGTAACAAACTATCCAAGGACAACACAGTTGACCCTACGACATTTGTACATATTCGTTTTCAGTCTAATATGTTTCATATCTTGGCGTCAACACTTGCGTTAGAGTTATTGAAAAAAAATCAGACGTATTTTTGTTCAATTGTTTAAACAGTCAAATTATAATATCTTTATGCCGTCAATCCTTTTATTTGTAGGTAACGATGCAATAAATTTCATTGATTGCTTTTATTAGTTTCATCAAGAAAAAAGATAATAATTCATAGTCACGGATTGAACATATCTTGTTTAATTTAAAAACAAATAAATAAATAATGATAATAATAAAAAAAGGGAAATTCATTTTGTATAATAAACTAGATTTTCCCGCTGGAATACATTGCAAATTCCTTTAATCTTTCCTGTCGCTTTCAGGAGTTGATCCCCCAACTTTCCATAATTATGGCAATGTCCGTATGTATATCAATACATGATACACAGTATTATTCTGAATGCTTATATTTTATTAGATGTATGTTGCATGAACACGAAAATCGAACAATATGCGAAAAATGACAACGATATGTAAATGTCAACACAAACAAAGTCCTCCGCAATTGTATCTCTGCACCCTCGAACCTTCTCCGCAGTAGCCAGGTGTCACTGTAAACTCAAACAAATTTCTCTGCAGTGACGATGTGTCACTGTTAACTCAAACAATTGCTTTTTGCTGAAGCGAGGTGTCACAGTTTACTCAATTGAATTTTTCCGCAGTAGCGAGATGTCACTGTAAACTCAAATTTCTTTGCAATAGCAAATATTGCTAACTCAAACTAATGCCTTCGCAGTAACAAGGTGAAATGATTAATTTAAACAAATGTCATTGAAAATCAAACATACGTCATCGTAGTAGCGAGTTTTCACAGTAAACTCAAACAAATTTCTCCGCAGTAACGAGTTGTCACTGTTAACTAAACAAATTTCTCCGCAGCAACGACTTGTTACTGTTAACTCAAACAAATTTCTCCGCAGTGGCGAGTTGTTTCCGTTAACTCAAACAAATTTCTCCACAGAAAGAAGTTGTCACTGTTAACTCAAATACATTTCTCCGCAGTGGCGAGTTGTTACCATTAACTCAAACAAATTTCTCTGCAGTGGCGAGTTGTTTCCGTACACTCAAACAAAATTCTCCGCAGTAAGAAGTTGTCACTTTGAACTCAAACGAATTTCTCCGCAGTGGCGAGGTGTCACTGTTAACTAAAACAACTTTCTCCGCGGTAGCGAGTTGTTACTGTTATTTCAAACAATATGTCTTCGTAGTAGCGAGGTGAAATAATCACTTCAAACAAATCGCTCTGTAGTAACGAGGTGTCAATGTTAATTTAAACAAACTTCTCCGCAGAAGCGTGATGAAAAATAAAGCAACATTTTCAATCCCTTGCGGTGCGGCAGCATTTCTTTATCTTTTTTAACAACACCATAACTTTGAAGTTTATCTGCTTCATCTCATTGTTATTCAAATCAGAATTATGACGAAACTGTTGGCGTTAACATCTGTTGTTTACAAGTACCGAGACACTTAAATTATGAAGTCTTGGGTACTTTTACACTTAAAAGCAGAAATGCTCAATACACTTACGTACACTGTAATGGGTACGCGTTGTCCCCTTCCAAATTAGTATAAATCCTTTTCCGTTTTCGACATCCCATCATTCTGCGTCTTCTGGGTGTTTTAGGTGATTTGGCATTACGTAACGACCACGATTTCGCAATTATACACGCCATAAACATGGACTATCTTTTTTGAGTGAATCTAATTGTTCATTAAAACAAATCTACTTCCTTGTCTAAATCCAGACGTACCGTTAGAAAATTGGAAATCTTTCTCTTGAGGGATTTCTGACGTACTTCCACAGCTTTCTGGACTTTTTCTCGAATGGTTTGTGGCATTGCCATTAGTTCCGGGTTTGACAAAGCACCACGGCGCATGTGTAGGCGTTTACATTCGGATGGTTTCTGACTTGGTTGTTCTTTTTCGTGATGAGCTTTAGATTCGATGCTATTTCTTCTCTGTAGAAGTTGCTTCCCCTTGAAGGACTGCGATGTTGGCCGTCTTGAACTAAAACTCCACCGCCTACTTTTAAAATTGGAAATCGTTTCTCGCCTTCGTATTCCCATATGTAATTTACTCCCAAATTCTGGCGGAATTCTCCCGACTTCTGATGTAGTAGCAACGGTATCTAGGTCAGGTGTACTTTTTGTGGGCTTTGCTTCCAGCTCTTGTATTCTATTCACATTTTCGTTTTTGACATTTCTCATGTCTGTAACAGTTGACGAATAGTCCGTTGGAGAAGCAGTACTGCTATGTTCCAGCTCTGCCATACAAATCCTTTCTCCGCTAACACCTTCTCGTGTGCAACTGCTGAAAGCCATTTCAGAGAGTCACTTATGTTCGGCACAGAAACTTATGATACTTTTCACCATCACAAGTCAGCAAATTGCTGAATGTCTGTTTCAAGAACGTAAACAGGATGAAGTATGTTTCTCTGTTACATATGGATTCGCCACAACACATTGACGTGTGACATCACCAATTTTTTCGTGGTAACTAAGGTGACCATCATCCGAGAGTTCTCTTCCGGTAGCTTCCTGATTGTGAAATGTACGGCTTGTAATCTTCCTTAAGTCAAGAGAACAGAGATTCTAAATCTAATTTAACTCGCTCGCTTCCACTCCTGCAATAATATCAATTAAAACGTAAGTTGGTAAGAAGATTTAATCAATACCCTATAACAAGTATCATCACGTGTATTTGCAGACGATACACAACCTGACGCCCGAGGACTGCAGATAATGGATCACGCTGATTAAGCTAAGTAGCATAGTGTATTGATGTCAAGATTACATGAAGTTAATTAGAATTTCAATGATACATACTGT